CTGATGAACCAGATTCTACAAAAACATCTATATTTAAATTTTTATAGGTTTTCATCATCATTTGATGTATTTGCACTCATTGCGTCTACTTTTAATGTTCATTTTAGATGTGTGGTTTTGTTTCTCGTTCACATATATACATTTTATTTTTAGCTTTGCTTTAACGTTCTTGTTTCGTGAATTGTACATTTGTGGGTTAAAATAAAGTTGAACTAAAGGCCGTCTTTAGTTTAGTTTAGTTTATTCTGTTTATTCAGTCTCTCTTCTTGAAACATGTTTGAAGGAAATATTCCTGAGAGATCCAATAATTTTGTCTTTTATGATTTTCAGCTGAGTTAACAGTCATTAAAGTGAAAACAGGATTTCATGATAAAGCCGGCACCGTTTATTTTATTATTTTTTAATCTTCAACGCTAATATATATATATACAGTATATATCTTTTATGACCAGCTCTGCTGGTCTCACATGATCCTCTCCTCCGAAGCCAGGATGGGCAGGTGTCATCTTCCCAGCTCCGAGCTCAGCTGGTGACTCGCAGAAGGCCGTTGCCAGACCCCAGCCTCACGTAATCATGAAGGCCCGACCCGTGCAGATAGGTGGACAGAGACGGGTCGGTGACAAATGGTGGAAGCGATTTTTAAAAACATTTTATGTGTAAAAAATACAAAAGTTTTTTTCAGTCGCTTCAGCAATTTTTTAAAAATTTTTTTGCATAAAAACAAAATATTTGTTTATTTAAAAATCGCTTCCACCGTCTGTCCTAGACTGTCCAGTCCGCCTGACTGCTGGGCGGGATCGGGATTCGGCCTTCATGATTACGCGAGGCTGGGGTCTGGCAACGGTCTTCTGCGAGTCACCAGCTTCGTGGTGACCAGCGAGCTCTGAGCACGCAAGGCCGGGATCCAGAACCCGAGCCTCCGAGTCAGCACAACGAAGGATCTTCCACGGTGACCAGCGGAACTTGGAGCCAGGGAGATGACGCCCTGCCCGGCCTGGCGCTCCGAGTGTCCGGGGGGAGGACCGGGGTAGACCAGCAGCGCTCCATCCAGCTTGCTCTGAATTAAGTCGTCGGCCAGTCGTCGGCCACCAAGCACAAAAAACGCCAGCACGTCAGCATTAGACCAAGATGTCATTATTGTTTTTAAAATCTTTAAAATAAGTCCAGCCGCTGATCCAGTCTGAGAAATTGCAAATGGCAGATCATTGTTTTGAAAAGTTTCTGAAGGATCCAGTGACTCCGCTCCCAACCAATCAGTGACCGACAGTGTTCTGACGTCACGTTTTTGTTACGATATTTTTGGACTGGTCCTATGGTTTTGATCTGCTCAGAGACGGGATTATAATGAAATTATGGCCCGGTTCTGACTGGGTTAAACTGGGCCAGCAACTCTAAAGAGAGTCTCCCTGGGATTTCAACATCAGTCAAGGAATAGTTTAATCTACTCGCCACATCACGCAGAAAAGGCTTTTGAAGCACCATCTCATATTTCCTAACACGTCATAACCACATAAGATCCACTGAGATCACACTTAGTCACGCCCCCTCATACACTGACAGGTTGAGCTCCCCTTCTGCGAAGGCGGAGTCTAGAACCCTATAAATGAGTAATGACACGAGACATCGGGGCTTTTCTTCCGGGTCTGTGAAGGCGTCACAGACGGGAGAGTCCAGCGCTGTAAATTGTAACCTTTTCCTGCATTTTTTAATATAATTGATAAAACTTAATTGACGTTTCGTTGATTTATTGATATTGTGAGTTGCCCCTTCTGAGGGAGGTTCGAGCCGGGGGGAAAGACGTGGGCTGGAGGGGGTTTCCGGGTCTGGTGACCCGCAGCCAGCTCCCATCTTTAACATTATAGTACCTCTTCGTTCAGATTAGAACCACAGAGCCAAGGGTCCTGAAAATAGTTATAGGTTCTAAGTACCGGTACTAATGGAAAAGCCTCAGAACCAGGCCAAGTCGGGTCCAGTCGGCCCGTACCAGTACTAATGGAAAAGGGGCATAACCGAATCTCACTGCTAACAGTATCATGCTGCTAACTGGACCATGTTGCTAAGATAACCTCGTTGTCATCAGAACCACTCTGTCATTAGTAGTAGTAGTCTGGTCAGTCATTTAGTACTCGGCATTCAAACAAATGTAATAATAATAATAATAATAATAATAATAATGAATTTAATTTGTAACGCACTTTTCATTAACAAAAATCTCAAAGTGCTACAGAGTGCAACTAAAATCAATGATAAAATCAAGTAAAGTCAGTGATAAAATCAACATCAATGTCTGAAGTCGTTATTAAAACTCTGCAGGCAGAAGTGAAATGGCTGTTTTCTGAAACCTCACCCAATCTGGTCCCCAGCATTGATGGGCCTGCTGGAGAAGAAGGCTATCCTTGGGAAGCGTAGGTCCTGGTGCATGGTGAACACCCTCACAGCCATCATGTTGGGCTCACACAGATGATTTATGAAACGGCCGATGTTGCCGAAGAGTCTCGCATCAATGCAGTGGACCTCCCCAACCTGAAAAAAACAATCACCAAAAAAACAAACAAACAAACAAAAAAAACAACGTCAGATCAAGTGCTTTTACTTTCATCACTCGCTCCCAACTACAATATGTTCAAAACTTAAGGTTTATCTTACAAAAACAAATACTTTTTATATCCTTTTTTAATCAAAGTTAATGAAATGCACAGTCATCTTTACATATCTGTAACTGAATATCCAAACTCAAGATGGCCACCACAGACAACTCAATTAAAAAAATCCCAAAAAGTGTCTAGAACTAGAAGATTTTACAGATACTATGCTGAGATGTTTGACCACCTCAGCCTTTGTGATTGGCCAACCCATCCCAAAATATCATGGCTCTGGTTCCTCGGAGGAAGACGTTGGTGGGATTAAGGAGCTCGTCAAATGATTCCTTCAACTTCCCCGTTCAGCAGCTCCTAGCCCCCCCACCACAAAATAAACAGTAGGGACCAGAAGCTGTCTTCCTATAATGACATGCTTCATGGTCAGACAATAGTAGAGCTGTCATTTCTAACCCGGGCCCGAAGCCTGGTTTGACCTGAATTCAGGCCAGACCAGGCCATAATAATGTGCTGGATGGGCGGGCCTGGTCGGTGTCAGGCTTTTGATTGTGTCAGCGGACGCTCACAGATCACGATCCAATTATATGGAAACATGGCTTGCCATACATCACGAGCTACAAGCGGCCATTTCACCGCGAGCTGATCAACCTTGAAAGAGGTAAAAAAAAAGTTCAGTTAAGCTTCAGATGGGACTATACTGCCAGGCTTGGCGATCCATCAAATCGCAAATGGACGTTCATTCAGCCGCTGAACTTAGCGGACGCGCGCGGCCGATGACCCAAACAGGTGAGATCACAAAATATCTTCGCAGACATGCAAGATCCATGTGTGAGTAATGCAGAATGCAGGCAGAAGCAGAGATTTAATGATTTGACAGCCATGAAATGACAAACACCCCCTCAGCTCCGATCTTTTGCCCCATAAGTCGCGCACGTCCGCCGACCGTTAATAACTATATAAGCAGTCACAGCTTAATTAAAAATGTCGGAGGGTGAGGGGGTGGGGGTTCAGGTTCAGACCTGTAATTACTGTTAATTCGTCGGATTGGGTTTGGAAATGATGGCTACAGGCTGGGGCGGGGTCGGATTTTTTGGGCCCGAATGCAACTTTAGACAGTAGTATCCTGATGCATGCTCAATATTCCAGGTAGAAAAATCTAAAAAAGTTAAATCTGGTCCTCTGGACATTCAAAAAACAAAACAAAGCAAAACAACAACAAAAACAATGTAGAAACATTTCGTCTTTCATCCGAAAGACTTCCTCAGTCTGAGGTGCTGTATTCAGCTCAGTCTTATAGATAGCACTCTCTCGCAGTGGATCAACCAGTTCTGCTGCTGACAACCAAAACCAGCTGCTCACATGATCAAGAAGGCACAGTTTCAAGAGTTGACACAGCTTTTAAACCCCAAAATACATTACGGCAAAGACTGGTTCATCCCAAAGATCCAGTCCCCCGGCACAAACAGAGTAATGTTGTGTATGCTGTTCAGTGTCAGGAGGGCTGTGATCAGTCTTTCATCGGGGAAACTAAACAGCCACTGGCCAAAAGGATGGCCCAGCAGAGAAGAGCAACAACATCAGGCCAGGACTCTGCGGTCTCCACTCATCTCCAGGCCAGCGGTCACTCTTTCAGGGATGAAGATGTTCACATCCTGGATAGAGAGGAATGATGGTTTGAGAGAGGAGTAAAGGAGGCCATCTTTGTGAAAATAAACTGTCCATCATTAAACAGGGGTGGAGGCCTACGTGTTCAATTGTCCCCCTTTTACAATGCTGTTATTGCTAGTATCACTCAGCCCTCTGTGAATAGTAAACAACCATCAGGGTGCTAATGATCCATCGTTAGGCTGATGGTCCTTCTTGATCATGTGAGCAGCTGGTTTTGGTTGTTAGCAACAAAACTGGTTGATCCACTCTGTGAAGGCGCTATTTATAAGACTGAGCTGAATACAGCACCTCAGACTGAGGAAGTCTTTCGGATGAAAGACAAAACGTTTCTACATTTTTTTGTTGTTGTTGTTTTGCGTTGTTTTGTCTTTTGAATGTCCAGAGGACCAGATTTAACTTTTTTAGATCTAGACAGTCGTATAAATAATTTTAGTTCAGTAACTGAAGAAATTTTTTTTCTATAGGCAATAGTCTACTAGCGGTGGCAACCATCTTGGGTTGACTACAGTGATGTTTGAATGTTTGTGAACTCTTAATAATTTTCTATATTTCTGCATAAATATAACTTCATCAGATTTTCACACAAGTCCTAAAAGTAGATAAAGAGAACCCAGTTAAACAAAAGAGACAAAATATTATACTTGGTCATTTATTTATTGAGAAAAATGATCCAATATTACATATTTGTGAGCAGTAAAAGTATGAGAACCTTTACTTTCAGTATCTGGTGATATCGCCAGCTCGCTTTTCTTTTTTTTTTGTGTGACCTGTCAATCAATTCAGTAGGCGTGTCAGCAAATGACCAATCGGCATCCTCAGTTTGTCCCAAGGAAATGCCCCTTGCCTGCTTCAGGTCCTTCCACAACATCTGGATTGGATGAAGGTCAGGACTTTGACTTGGCAATTCCAAAACATGAACTTTATTCTTCTTGAACCATTCTTTGGTAGAACCACTTGTGAGCTGAGGGTCATTGTCTCGCTGCATGACCCACCTTCTCTTAGATTCAGTTCATGGACAGATGTCCTGACATTTTCCTTTAGAATTCTCTGATATAATTCAGAATTCATTGTACCATCAATGATGGCAAGCCGTCCTGGTCCAGATGCAGCAAAGCAGGCCCAAACCATGATACTACCACCACCATGTTTCACAGATGGGATAAGGTTCTTATGCAGGAATGCAAACAAATGACCAGGTCATTTGTTTGGTGTTGACCAGGTCAATGTTCAGTCAGGTCCAGATCACCTGACTGAACATTGCTGGATTCTAATACCTGGATTATTGCGCATGAACTTTTGGAGACTATCTCAGTTGATTAACATGTCATCACAGTTTGGCTTACAATTAGTTATCTAATTTGTTAACAGTCAACACCCAACTTTCTTCCATTTGAGAGTGATTGATGGTCTCACTGATAACAGCAGGAGGTGAAAAAAACACAACTTTAGAGATTCATGTAAATGAATGATATAAAAATATGTTTTATAAGGTGTTAAGTTGCCTTTATGC